TAAGGAACCTGATGACCAGATCATGCTTCCCTACCGACTTCCCTTCCACGGGATCATGGTTAGCAGCAATCGCAGCAACATAGACTTTAAGGGTGGAGGGAGACAGCCTTTGCTCCAACCCTTGCTGCAAAAAGGAAAGCACGACCCTGATCGGGCATTTCCGGGGGTCTTCTCGGTGAAATGAACACCACTCGATGAACAGGTTCAACTTCAAGGCGTAAGTGTGTCTCATAGGCAAAGTGATGGTGTCAACTATCTGCTGGGGTAGGTCACATATAACCTCCGTGTCCCGTCCAGGGACCAGACATGAAGTTTCCAGAGGCCCTTCGCCAGTAGGACTGCGATCTCCACACGCAAGACAGGAGCATCGGCCACCTTCACTGCCGTGAAGCGGATGTCACTAAACTTGGGGGGACGCCAAGCAAACTGAATCGCATAACCGAGGCTGATGGTCCGCAGAAGCCAGCGAGACGGGCTGGGTAGTGCTAGCCAGGCACCCAGATACCGTGCAAGCAGGACAAGCGGGACCAGCGGAACCACCGCCGTACCCGCAGTGGGGCAGCGAGGTGGAATGCAGGGACCCAACTCAAGCGGCTTGTGGGCAGACCGAAGAGGGTCTGAGTGTGCGATGCAACGCTTACCTGGTTCCACAGTTTGGCAGAGGGTGCGCGAGTAGGGCCTTTGTTGACGCTCTCGAACCAACCGCTGCTGCCTGCTGGCGATGGAGGAGGATGAGTGTGGTCCGGTGTTGGTCCATCCGTGACTCTCCGTTCCCTCCTTACCTGGTTCCACAGTTTGGCAGAGGGTGCGTGAGTAGGGCCTTTGTTGACGCTCTCGAACCGTCAGCTGCTGCCTGCTTGCGATGGAGGAGGATGAGTGTGGTCCAGTGTTGGTCCGTCCGCGACTCTCCATGCCCTCCTGGAACCCAGGGACAGAGAAAACCACTCTCTCGTCGAGATTTTCCAGATTCTCCACCCGGCCCTCCTCCGGGGGAGGGAGAGGTGCATTCACCATCCCCCAAAGAGCAGCTTCCTCCCTCTCTGGGTCGCCCGTCCCGGGGCCTCTTGCTTTTCCGCTCACCGCCAGGTTTGACGGGGGCCTGGATGGGCGGGACGGCCTGCCTATGCCCAGCTCCACGGCACCGCTTGCTCGAGACTGCTGCGGATGCGGCGCAGGAGTGGGGGCGGACGCAGGGGGCCGCCCTCGGCAACGAGCAGGCTGGGGCGCTGCGCTGCGCTCCTCATGCACCTCCGGTAAGAAAGGCACCGAGTCGGGGCGCTGAGAACCAGCGCAAGCCACCCCGAGAAACCAATCGTCCAACCTCGAGGGCTCGGGACGCGGTGGAGTTTTCCACTCGATCCCTACCCTGTCGGCGGCCTGGGAAAGCATAGCCGACATTTCCGGATCCGATTCAGGCCTTGCCACCATCCTGGAGGGCGGCAGCGCAGCCGAATCTTCCTATCCAGAGAGCTCTCCCTCCGATGCAGTGATTGACATCTGGTCGTCAGGAGGAGCATCGAAGGATACCGCTGGTACTCTCTTTGAAGAGGGCCCAGCGCGTTCCTTTGGCGGCTCAACTGGTTGCGAAGCGCTAGAGGAGCGATAGTCCCCCGAGGGTTGGTTCCCTGAGGGGTTTGCTGCCACCAGGACGAACACTGGATTGCAGCAGAGGCAACGGAGCTCCGCCCCCCCCTGGAGGAAACGGAGCCTTGCCCGCAGCTCCGAGATGGTCATCTTCCCGCAATGGGAACATGACTCAAATGCGAACGCCACCTCAGCGTGTTTAATGCCCAGACACGTGAGGCAGCGATCGTGGCCATCACTCGGCGCCAGGTAACGACCGCATCCAGAAAAGCACGGGTGAAATGGCATCTTTAAAAAGACGATCCGTCGTCTTTACAAAGACGCACCCGTGTAACCTCTTTTAGAGAAATAGGCTCTGTCAGGGAAATGCTCTTTTAGGTGCTGAGACGCACAGGGGAAATGGCCGCTTGCAGCACGAAAGGGGGTAGTGCAGCCTGAAGTGCACAACCCACTCGACACAGGAACGACCACCGCTGAAGCGCCGTCCGCCAACACAAGAAAATCCCTAGAGCGCACTAGACTCGTCACACACGATGCAGTTTGGTAGGAGCAGAACGATGTTGTCGCTCAGCTCCGAAGCGAGAAGCTGGTATGCGTTGCACCGGCTGCCTTTTGATGCTCACACTGTGATCAGCGGCAGCTGGATGCAATTATCGCATGCCAATGTGCATTGGCTCATTTAGTTTACACTCGAAGTGGATTGGTCTCTCTAAGCGAGATCCCAATTCGTCGGTCACCAACGTGACGTCGAGAGTGACCAACTGAAAGGGAACCAATTAGCTGTGCCATGTGATAATGACCCCATGTCATTAGGTCAGGTTGAGTTAGACCTGTCGGACTCTGTATATGTGCCTGGAGCTTACTAATAATAATACTACTAATGCTTATTTTCATATTAAAAAGATGAAATATAAAAAAGAATATTCAAATAAACACTGTGAATGCCAGTGAGCAAATGACAGTATAAGTGTTTATTTTTATGTCGTATGTATAACGGCCCTGTCACAAGCTTAACCAAAATGATGCCATAATAATTTAACTACTGTGTAACTCTCAGTGTTTGATTAGTTATTGTTCTTTTCTTTTCAGCCCTACTTTGCTTTATTTGCAGCTGTCCGGTGGCTTCTGACTGAATTTGTCATGTAAGACTCGTTTCTGTGATATTTTGAGATTTGGGGATTGAAATATGTGTATTCCATTTTCCATGCACATATCAGGACATACAACAACAGGTGTCTGTTTGACGTTTAGTTGAAAATATCTAAACATCCTAAAAATATGTATCTACAAAACTGGATACATTTGGTTTGTTTGAAATAATTGCAAATGTTTTACCAGTAGGAAAGGAATGGGAATAATTATCCTGGGAAAACATTTATTTTAAATATTTTTATGCTATTTTATAATTTTTTTTATGGATATTTGGATATTTTAATTCTAAAACAATATAAGCATAATGAATGATTTTTAGCAATATAATGTGATGGCACAAACAAAATTTACAAGTGTCATAGGCGGTAGTATCACATGGATGGGAATATGCTCATGGAAATCAAAATATTTTAAAATATTTTCAGATTTGCTTTAGTAATGACAACATTAAGTTTACAGTGTAGATACCAAAGTATTTTTATAATTATAATATGGTTTGCTTTTATAATATGATGAAGTGTCTCAGGTTGGAAAGCACACATAGGCCACATTAAAATAACAGTACTGTACTTCTCACTCTTTGTTTTGACCCCTTTTATCTATGTATTTCATTCATTCATTTATTCATTCATACATACATGAATTTGTTTCTCTCTTTTCAGCACTTGCTTTCAGTATTGTTCTCTTTCATTTGCTTTTGCAGATTTCTGGTTGAGTTCAACCTGTACAGTTGGTGGCACTCTCACCTCACCATTAAGGGTTTGTATGTTTATGAGGATGTGTGTGTGATGTGTTGACGGCATCAGATCTAAAAGCACATTATATGCACATTATATGTAAGTGAAGATTTCAGAAGGTTGCAAGATTTTTTGCATATAACTAGTGCTCAAGGCACAAGGTTGAGGTTTCAAATGTGCACTGACAACAATATTATGTGCTCCATTAATTGTGATTCCATGACTGTAGCTTCACACTGTCACCATGTGCAGTGCTACATTTCAGTTGAAGTAGAGTGATGTTTAGGGGTGCAACTCTACTCAGTCACATATAGCACTTAATACTGAAGCACTGACTGTGAGCCAGGCTTTATTTGCCAATATTATGGCCCAACCTCTCTAAACCGCCTTCAGTTGAATAAAAACTAATTTCTGCATTCTTTTGGAAAGCAGCAAATGACGAATTAACTCATGCTAATGCCAGCGGATGTTATTTGGAAAAAGGTGAATTAAGTACTTTTTGGATTACATAATAGAGTATCTTGTATGCAGAAATATGCTTTCTAGTGAAGCCACTATGAATATACAATTTTGCTGGCTGAAGCATGCAGCTCAATGCAAATAAAACGTCTCGGGTTACGTATGTTACTCTGGTTCCTCGAGGGAATCTGCAGATCCCCAACTCTCTTGAGAGAAGATATCGCCAGAAGGAAGGTAGTTTTGATAGTAATGAGGCGATCAGATATCTCCTCAATAGGCTCGAAGGGAGGCCTACAGGGAGCCTCTAGCACCACCGCCAGATCCCACGTGGGGACACAAGATCGTACCGGAGGCCTCAGCCTCAGCGCACCACGGAGGAAACGTGTAACTAGGAGTTGTCTGCCCACTGACTGGCCACCAAGAGGGGCGTGGTAGGCCGCAATAGCCGCCACGTAGACCTTCAGGGTGGAGTGGGTCAACCCTGCGGAGAAACGGGCCTGCAAGAACTCCAGCACTGGGTCGAGCTGGCGGTCTCCGCACCAAGAAGTGAAAAGTTTCCACTTCAAGGCGTACAGTCTCCTCGTGGAGGGAGCTCGGGATTGGAGGATGGTCTCCACAACCTCGGTTGAGAGACCGGAAGCTATGAGTTGTGCCCCCTCAGGGGCCACACCCACAACTTCCACAGCTCCGGGCGGGGGTGGATGATCATACCCTCCGCCTGTGAGAGGAGATCTCTCCTGACGGGAATCTCCCACGGAGCGCCGTCGAGGAGAGAAATCAGGTCCGAGAACCATACTCGGCCCGGCCAGAACGGGGCTACTAGCAGAAGACGGACCCCGTCCCGGCGCAATCTCTCCAGAACTCCCGGGAGCAGAGCAATCGGGGGAAAGGCATACAGACGAAGCCTCGGCCACGTCTGTACCATGGCATCCAGCCCCAGTGGAGCTGGAGGACTTAGAGAGAACCAGAGGGGACAGTGCGATGTCATGCGAGTCGCAAACAAATCCACCTGAGCTTGGCCGAAGACTCTCCATATCTGCTTCACCACCCTGGGGTGAAGCATCCATTCCCCGGGCCTCGGCCCCTGCCTCGACAGGATGTCTGCTCCCAAATTGAGGCGCCCAGGGATGAAAACCGCTCTCAGCGAGAGAAGTCTGCCCTGGGACCACACAAGGATCTGGTACGCTAGTTTGCACAACCGGCGTGAGCGCAGACCTCCTTGGTGGTTGATATAAGAGACCACTGCTGTGTTGTCGGTGCGCACCAACACATGGTGGCCTCTCAGGTCCGGGAGGAAATAACTCAGTGCGTGCAGCACGGCCAGCATCTCCAGGCAGTTGATATGCCACGTGAGATGGCGACCACTCCACAGACCACGGGCAGGGTGGCCACTCATGACCGCTCCCCAACCGGTGAGGGACGCGTCCGTCGCTAGCGTTACGCGGCGACAAGGAGTTCCCAGCACCAGGCCCTGAGACAAGAACCAAGGTTTCCTCCACATGTCCAAGGCACGTAGGGATCGCCGCATGACCTTGAACATGCGAAGCGGGTTTTCCCTCGGGGAGAACCCCCTGGTCTTGAGCCACCACTGTAGGGGCCTCATGTACAGCAGGCCAATAGGTATCACGTTGGACGCAGCTGCCATCAGACCCAGCAGTCTCTGGAAATGCTTGACAGTGAGTGACCGGCCTTCTCTGACTCTCGCGACTGCGGTGAGGATCGACTCGATCCGAGCAGGGGACATACGTGCCTGCATCGTGGTCGAATCCCACACCACGCCCAGACAAGTGGTCCTCTGTAATGGAGAAAGCACACTCTTCTTGGCGTTTAGTCTTAACCCCAGCTCTCTCATGTGGGCGAGAACGACATCTCGATGTCGAATCACCATCTGCTCCGACTGAGCTAAAATCAACCAATCGTCGATATAATTCAGTATGCGGATGCCCTGGAGTCGCAACGGAGCCAGGGCTGCATCCACACACTTTGTGAAAGTGCGGGGTGAGAGTGCAAGGCCGAAAGGAAGAACACGATATTGGTACGCTTTGCCCCCGAAAGCAAACCTCAGGAACTCCCTGTGACTGGGAAGGCGACCGAATTGACGGCGTCGCCAAACAGGCCAGAAGGCGCAAGCGGGGCGTCCATTAGGCAGACCTTGTCTCTCTCTTTCATATCTGACAAGGTCAGCCATAGATGCCTCTCCGCTGCCACCATAGCTGCCATAGACCTGCCGATGGCATGGGCGGTCTCTTTAGTGGCGCGGAGAGACAAATCAGCTGTCCTCCTGAGCTCGGTAACATCCTCAGATTTTACCTGCTCACCCTCATCTAGCTCTTTCAGCAGGTCGGCTTGGTACGCCTGTAACACCGCCATGGTGTGCAGACACGCACCAGCCTGACCCGCTGCCGAGTACCCTTTGCCCACCAGCGCTGAGAACGCTTGCGAAGGCACCCTCAGCAAAGAGTGCCTTCCGGGAGCGGAGAACATGCATCGGAAGACGCTCGCAATGCGGGCAGTCAGCTCTCTCAAGAGCTCTCTCACTCAGCATGCTCTGCTCCCAGGCAGACAACGCACAAACTGTGTGTATCCCCACACGTAATGAAACGCGTGCAGGGAGGAACACACAGTCTGAAACGCTGGCCACCTTCGCCCCTGCTCAAATGGTGTTTTTTTTTTTTTCATGTGCTTTAGACATAATTTCTTTTTCTATCTCTCTTTATTTTTCTCTTTCTACCCGTCACGCTGAAGGGCGTTCCCCTAGCGTTTCCGACGCAGCTCGAGTTCCTGAACAGGAACTACCGAATTCACAGAGACATGATATATTCAGAGCAAAAGGGAAAATGTGACCATGTTATTTCTAACAATTCACTTTTTTTTCCACTCTCAAGTAATCCATTTATTATTAAGATATGTAACGTCATAACGTAATTATATGTTGGTCACATTAAATTGATCATTCACAGAATCATGTACCTTACTAGATAATGTATTACATCTGTATGCATTCTGAGAAAAAAATCTATAGAAACAAAATGTATACATGTTAAGCAGATTCAACAGGAGTGCATGCTGGCATTCACGTCTGTCCATAATTGTTTACAGAATTTTCTGTCCCTAAAGTGATACAGATAAGCCTTGCCACAGAAAAACATTCGAAGCACAGTGTCTCTCTCTCTGTTTTTCTCTCTAGCTCAGAGAGGAGGCAAAACTATGTTGATTCCTTGTGATAAAGAGTATCCAGCATTCGTGTCTGAGCGCACCATTAAAGAAACCGTCGGGAATATTGACTGTGAAAGCTGTGTAAAGTAAGTGCAGTACTCCGACACACAATAATCACTTAAATTCATGCACAAGAAACCTATCGGACTGCGCCATCTAGAGTTTCATGCCAGAACTCTGTATATACATAAGACAGTTGGGGTCAGCTGAAAGATATCAGACAACCTTTATAGTCTGTTCACTCACATAGAATTGTTATTCGCTTGATTCAGAATTATATGTGAGTGAACAGACTACATTTACACTTATTGTATATACAGTGCCACTATCTTTCATACCTTGCCACAAATTTTGTTTGCTTGTTGTCTTTGTTTGGTCCACAGCATGTTGTATGTAGCAACAGGGTATCTGTCTACTGAACAACTTGCATTGTACATTTACATCATTAATTGCTCAGTTGACTATAATGAGTGATATAGTTTTGTTATGTGCATGAGTGAATGCTGTACAAGATAATGAAAGAAAGAAAAAGGGGCCAACTCAAATATGTTCTTTGTGTGTATTACATCATAACAGGAAGCTTGATAGAAGTTTATTTCGTCTGGTAAGAGGAAACAAAATACCAAATTAAAATAAAAGCCAAGTATTTGCAATCCTTGCCTTTATAACATTGTTGTAAATATTCAAACAGCTAATGTTGGAATCCTCTCCACTTTGTTGGCAATCATGAGTTTCTCCAATGCAGCAATTAGTTAAATTAATTACGAAACCATAAGATTAAATTTTAGTTGTCTTATTTTAATTTATTTATTTAATGCGTACTGTACATACCTTGGCTTTTCTATGTTTGGTAAGACTTTATTTTGATGGTCCCTTTTGAAATTCTGTTGACTATAAGTAACTTGCAACTACATGCCAACTAACTTTAGTCTTTAGACTATTAGTAGACAGTTAGGTTATGGTTAGGGGTAGTTTTCTATAAAGGTACAGTCTATGACAAAAATGTAGACAGCTTTTGTGAATTTTCTAAATTAAGAACTCATGAATTCCAACACAAGCTCAATGCTTCCAAAACAGACAGTTTTTGCAGTGTTACAGCATGTAACTCAAACAGCACAACAAAAGCCACCCTACTGATTTGAGGTCAGACTGACTGTAATATGCCATCATACATACATTGGTGACTTCTGTTACTAACTTTTATCCAAAGTAAGAGAAAAGACTATGCTAAAGAAAAAAAAAACTTAAATCTTTAACCTGTTTGCATTCAAGCAAACATGTGCGGTGTATGTCCAGTATATGTACACTTGTCTGCCTACATAGTGTACTGCCACCTGTTCCTACAGAGGACGCCCTCATCAACTCTTCTTATGTGGAGCAGATAAAAAAGTCATTTGAATCTAATTGGCTGTCTCCCCTCTTGTCTTGTCTTTCCCAGATCGTTTGTTATTCAGCAGATTCCCAGTAGTAATCTTTTCATGGTGGTCATTGACAATACATGTGACTGCAGCGACTTTGGACCTGTCAACATGGACCCCATCGAAATTATGTATATCCTTAATAAAAAGACAGTTTTCTTAGACAATTCCAATTAACCCTTTATTTTAACTCGCACTGATATTACAAACAGCAGACTAAAGCAATGCTTTCTTTTTTTAGACACTGTCTCTGTGGTCAATGTTTTCCTCTGTTTTGAAGTGTCTTCTTTGAACTGTCTTTTGTCATGTTTTTCCCTTAATTTCATTGCACATAACGAGTCTCTGAAATGTGAACGGTTGAAGTTTCAGAAGGAGAGAAGGCGACCAGACACGTGCCACCCCTTCCATCATGAGGTACAAAAACAAATCAAACTGAGCTGAATGAATGGATTGCTAAAGAGTTTTAGCTGCACACCTGTAACAGAGGTACAGCAACTATAACCATTCAGTGCAGGTATATGTTATTTGCACACCAGTCCAAATTGTAACATGCGTTATTTGCATTTGATTGTATTCAATATTTCATTATTTTTGCAAGCATTTGTAATAGCCATTCCTAGGCACCATATTGTGACATTTAATAATCTACAACAAAGTGAAGCTTAATTTAGAGTAATAATGAATAGAATAATATTTGATTACTACAACAAATCATATGCGAATCTACATTCCATTTCTGCAACTTCATAGGTGAACATTGGGATCAATTGTGCATTGATGGCTTCCTAAAGAATTTTCCAGGTTTTTGACACAGTCATAGAGTTTTGACACGCCATTTTGTCTCTATTTGATCCATCTGCAGGAAAACTCAATGGAGTGTGGTGGTTCTGTGGGCTTGACTCCATCACTAACATCTACAGTTTTTATAGTCCTGATAGTCACCATCTTTCCCAGGTGATGAAAACAGATTTTGACCCATACGTCCACCTCGGTCATGCCAGTTTCACTCGGTCCAGCATGCAAAAATTGATTATATAAATATTTATTTTACATTACAAATCACTTGATAGACAGCTACATAAAGCTTTTTTTTTTTCTTTTTAATAATATTGATATTTTATGTACACGTAGATAATAGGCAACATTTTACACATAAGGCTACAAGAGACTGATTACTGTGCTAATTAATTGAATAAAAGTACAATTCATAAATATCTACAAATAAATACAATTGTGTCATAAAATCAGCTTTTTGTTCTGTAATAAGTATTATAATTTATGATTTCCAGCCAAATGACTGTGATAATGCAATAGTAAGTATACAAAAGTTGATGTTCTAAATGAACATTGCCTTACAAAAAAACATACTGCAGTTTGTATACTTTTGAAATAAAATCTTTAAAAAAATACAAAGAGAGCAAAGATGTGAATTGATGTTTGATATTTATTTATTTATTTATTTGTGTGCATTGCCAGTGTCTGCTTATGTCTCTAAAAATCTTATTTCCATGGCTTCAGCAGGCTGGTTTGTAAGACCTGAGTCTTCTTGCAGGCTTTAGGAAGGTATTTCATATTTGGTATGTTTCTCAAAACCTCATAGGGTTCCTCCCACTTGACAAGCTGCCAGATGTTGGCAAGTGCAGTAAAGTCAGGCAATACACTGCAATTTCAGCAATGTTTTGTTAAATACTAACTCTTACTGAAGTAAATTGCATGTGATGTAAAGCCAAAGCTCACAATTTATGTGCTCAGACTATATGGTCCTATCAGCGAACTGCGACTTTTCACACTATACTTGTGAAATAAACTCATGGAACAACTTCTGTGAACTATGCAGATCCATACCACACACTATGTCACCATTTTTGACACTGTGTCACCCAAAGTTTAGGGCTATCAGTTCGTACCTCTTGTTCAACTGTGAGTTATCTTCACAAGGGGCAACCAAAATGTAATGTATGTCAGAAATTCATGCAAGCCTTCAGCAAGACCTTCTGGCCAGAAACTTGGGTCTTATCATATATTCAGATAATACATTCATACATGCATACATACATATATACACATCTGACATGAGAACAGAAAAACATTTAAATAGTAAGACTTAACAATAAATAATAATAATGTGTATGAATCTGGAACAGTAGATTTATGTACAGATTTGTGCATTATTTACTCTATATAGAACTGTATAAATAAAGAGATATGCATATGTATTTGCATAATACTTGAGAAAGAGGCAATAATTAAAGATGGAGAATGAATTACAGAAATGAATTACAGAACACCGGTGATGATTCATGTGTTAACTGTTTAAGCTGGAGATGGCATGGGGGAAAAACTGTTTTTATGCCTAGATGTTCTAGTGCACAGAGATCTGTAGCATCTGCTTGAGGCGAGAAGTGCAAACAGGTTGTGTCCGGGGTGAGAAGGGTCTGTGATGATGTTAGCTGCCCGTTTCTTCACTCTGGAGTTGTACAAGTCAAGGTGCAGGTGCAGGTACACACCAATGATCCTTTCTGCTGTCCTAACAGTCCGTTGCAGTCTTCTTATATCTGATTTGCTGGCTGACCCAAACCAGACAGTTATAGAAGAGCACAGAACCGACTCAATAATAGCGGAGTAAAACTGTGTCATCTGTGCTCAGCATGAACACATTTAATAATCATTTTATACAAGTTCAGTAAAGTTAGCAATATGTGACTTACATTTTAGACATAATATTGCTTGTTTTTGCTCAATTTTGCCAACGAAAATAGTTCCAAACAAAGATCATAGCACTGTTTTGTGTCACAGTGTTTACTTACTGAATGAATCAGCTTTTTGAACGAATCGGTTGAATAAATGATTCAGTGATTCACTCATTAACACTTCAGCGATCTTGCGTCCTTGTGTTCTCGCTCTACGTCATCATTAACCGTAGCAAGTACAGAGGACGCATGAAAGTTCCCGGATGTGTTCTTGATATCGAGGGTGCATTGAGTGCAGACTTGAGAGAATCAAGCCATTAGAAATTCCAAAAGACGCTGCGGGCGTCGGAAGCCTGCAAGCTTTAAACTCGCTCTCGCAAATACTTGACAGCTCTTGAAAGTAAACATGTATGGTTTTGTTTTGCTTAATTTTAATAAATGTATAAGACCCGGAGAAAGTCTGCAGTATTTTTATTGGCATATTAAAATGAATCTTAACATAGTCATAGTTAAACATATAACACTGTAAAATAAAACAATATACAATTATATGTAAATAATGTCTATAATAGTATGAAATGTTATGACATTTGTTTGTAATGTTATGTTATATTTATGGTTCACTGGCTGCTGCTTATGCTGTGACTGTGGTCAGTTAAGCAAGAACGCAGCACATCTCAATTCTCATAAGGGTGCGTTCTCTGTCCTCGCGTCCTTCCGAGTTTGTTCTTCCAAGGAAGCTTGGCAAGACCGGTCTCCACAAGAAAGCAAGTCCGTTCTTTGCGTTCTTGGAATTGAGAAACAGCCAAATACTTTGTACCTGAATGAATCAGCCGTTTGAACGAATCGGTTGAATCTCAATGACTCACTCATTACCAGTCACTTGCTGCCACCTACTGGCAGTTTTAATTTCTCATTTCAACTATTTGTTTCATGTTTTAAATCATTTCAAATAACAGTATTCAACATTTTATGTTAAAAACAAAACATTATTTATGCATCTGTAACTGCAGGTTAAATGCATCCATGTCTCCTCTGAGATATATTAAACTGTGTAAATACATCTAAATGCTATTTCAGATGCAGATTCCAGAAATGTTTTC